CAGCATCAGCATCATCAGCATCACCATCATCAGCATCAACATTAGCATCAGCATCATCATCCTCATCAGTACCATCACCATCAGCAGCATCATCACCACCGTCAGCATCATCATCGTCATCAGCATCATCATCAACAGCATCATCATGATCGGCATCATCATCTTCATCATCATAATACTAATCATCAGCATCATCATCGTCGTTTTCGCCACCATCATCATCGTCATCATCTTCATTATCATCATAATAATCATCATCACCATCATCGTCATCATCCTCATCATCGGCAGCATCATCATCATCGGCATCAGCATCATCCCCCTCCTCATCCTCCTGATTATCCCCCCCGTCCTCATCCTCCTCCTCCTCCTACTCCTCCTTATCGTCATCATCATCACCAGCATCAGCATCATCGTCAGCATCATCATCATCAGCAGCAGCAGCATCATCCTCTTTCTCTCCCCCCGTCCTGACACACCCAGATGTCCAACGTTTTGGACAAATCACGGCGGAGACTTTTCGTCGTCTCTGACCGCTGCGGGTCCTCGCCGAGCCTTTGGGTTTGTCAAAAAGGCGTCAGGGCGAAAAGCTGGCCCTGGAGACAGGGGCGGGACTTCGGGGACCCCGTGCGGTGGGGGTGTTCGTTGAGGAATTTGCCCTGGAGGATTCCTTATCTGATGAGGTTGTGATATCCACGGCCAGTCCACTACTGGAGTTCCACTGGCATCCAGACCCTGGATTCCTTATCCACTAGTTCCTGATCCAGAGACCTCACGGTCCGTATAGCCATTTTGGCTCAAGCTGGCTGGGTCCCCCTGCGCGACGGGCGGAGCGAGCATGGTGGCTGCGGGAGTGCCCCGTGGGGCCGCTGGGGCGCGTGCTTCGGCTGACCGGTTCATCTTCAAGCTGAAGGGCGAGCTGAGCGCGGCGAAGGTTGGAGCTCGACCGCCTGCGAGGGCTGCTGGACCGTGCAGCTGGCAGCGGCGGGGGCGCGGCCGAGGGCGAGGCTCGCCGCCGCGGAGTCATCGCGCGGCTGGCGCTGGTGGCCAGGCCCGCGGGGGACCGCGTACGCCGCAACGTGGCGTGGCATGCGCAACGCTGCCCCTCGGCCTCGGCGCCTCCAGGCGATTGGCGGCGCGCCCAGCGAGGGCCGCGCCTCGGGGCCAGGCGCCCGCGAGGGGGCGCGGGGCTGCGCGCGTACGCCGAGGTTTTCGTGCCTGCAGCTTGGATGGCGGCCAAGTTCTTCGCCGTGAAGCCGCCGAGTGCCTTCCTGGGGCGGTTCGCTGGTTTCCGCGTGCGGATGGGCCAGACCCCACGGGCCTCCGCTGCACTTGCGGTTCGCTGGCGTTCTCCTCGGTGCCCATCGGCGCGACCTGCTTCGAGAAGCACCCTGTGCGGGGAGGGCTCTGGCGCTGGCGGAGCCGCCTGCCGTCTGGGCGCCTGCGCCCGATGCTGCAGGTGGCGGCGCTCTTGGGGCCCCTGCGAGGGATACCTGCTCTGCTGCAGGGGCTGCCGTGGTCGTGCGGGGCGCAAAGAGCGAGTACATCGGCGAGCGCCTCGCGGAGCTGGAGCAGTGGGCGGGCGCGACTACCCGTCCTTTCGTTCGACAGTTGGCGCGGCTCCGCCAAGGCGGTTCCAGCGCGCAGGGCGCGTTCGTTCAGGTCGTCTTGCGTGGGATATTCGGAAGCCCGCTGCCGACTACCTGGCTGTGCTCGTTCAGCTGGTCGGCGAGCTTCGCCTCGGCCCGACGGAGCTCGAGGAGATCGAATCGCTCTCGTTGGAAAGGGGAGGCGGAGCTCATCGAGCAGATGGCGCAAGCAGGGGAAGAGGAAGATCGTATCTTGAACCGGCTGGAGTTTGAGAGCAGTTCGTTGGTGCTCTTCGATGCGCTGGGAGTGCTCGGCGGCGCAGGCCGCGGAAAGGAGGCGTGCGAGGAGACTGAGTGTGAAGAGCTGGAGCTGCTGCGCGACACGGACCCGCGGCGCCCGAGCTCGTTCCGCGGCAGGGTCTTGGCGACGTGGCTGGCTCGAAAGGCGGGGTGGAAAGAGCCACCCGAGGACGACGCCGACGCCGAGTGGCCTGGCGGCGAGTCCGAGCGCGCGCGGAGGGCGGACACCAGCGGCGTCAAACCGTAAGGCGGCCCTTTGGCGCGGGAGTGGCGCGGGCGGAGCGGTTGAATCCCATTGTGCGCGCGGGCCTCCAGGGGCCCTTGAAGAAAGAACAAGAGCCTTCACGGCGCCCCGTCATCGCGGATAAAAGTGGGTGGCGGGCGCGGGGTGGGTCGCGGGTGGGTTGCGGGTGAGTCGGGGGTGGGTGGCAGGGTGGGTCGCGGGGCGGGTCGCCCAGCGGTTCTTTATCCAACGGTTCCCTATCCAATGGTTCCTAATCCGAACCCGGTCCAATGCCCTGGATTCCTTACCCAGTGGTTCCCACCCAGACATCCAGCTGCTCCAATGTTTCCGCTGCGCGGGCCCCGAGGGTTTGGACCACCTCCCTGGGGCCGGCTTTTCGCCCCGAGTCGTTGTTTGACGGCCCCGAGGTCCAGGCGAGCCCCCCCCGAGGCCGGAAATTTCCAGAAACCCGCCGCCCCAATTTTGGTTGGGGCGTCGGATCCTTGGGCAATCCAAAGCCTTCGTCGCGCCGCACAACAAAATTGCCCCCCCCCCCAAAAAAAAAAACATACATCCGGGACATGTTTTTTATGGAGAGTCGTTGTTTGATGGTCCCGGGTCCCGGCGAGGGCCCCCAGAAGCCGAGAACTATGACAGAAATCTGTCCAGATTCTTGTGCGACGCGAGCATGTTTAGGATGCCTTCGCCGCGTTGAATATACCAAGAAGTTGCATGTTTCGGCAGGTCCACGACGCTGTCGTCGACGTTGTCGTCAACGTCGTCGCCGCCATCGTCCCCAATGCCCCCACTGCGTTGCCAGACGTCGGTGTGCTCCAATGTTTTTGATGCGTGGGCTCCGGAGGTCTGGATCACTCACCCAGTGCGGCTCTTCGTCTTGCATTGTGTTATGACGGTCCCGAGGCCCAGCGAGGGCCCCCAGAGGCCGAAAACGGCAAAAAAAACCGCCGTTCCGATTTTTTGGGCTGACACACGGCAGAGATGAGGATGATGATGCTGCTGCTGCTGCTGTTGCTGCTGCTGATGATGATGATGATGATGATGATGATGATGAAGATGTTGTTGTTGTTGTTGCTGCTGGCGATGCTTCTGATGATGATGGCTATGATGATATTGTTGATGGTGATGATGATCGTGATGGTAATGATGATGATGCTGATGATGGTACTGCTGATGATGCTGGTGCTGATGATGGTTCTGATGATGATGATCATGATGCTGATGCTGACGTTGATTCTGATGCTGATGACGATGATTGTGGTGATAATGCTGATGCCGACGACGATGGCCATGATGATGCTGATGATGAGGATGATGAGCGTGATGATGCTGATGATGATGTTGGTGATTGGTGATGATGATGACCGATGATGATGATGATGATGATGATGATGATGATGATGATGATGGTGGTGAGAGTGATGATAATGGTGATGATGTTGATGATGATGATGATGATGATGATGATGATGATGATGATGATGATGATAATGATGATGATGCTGATGATGATGATGATTCTGATGATGTTGTTGAAGAAATTGGCTGTCTAGACAGGCCCATGGCGCTGTGGTTCCAGGGCTCCCTGCGGGTCGATGCCGCACCCGCCCCACGGGCCTCTCGGCTCCCGGTGGGCCGGGCCTGTGCTTCGGCCGGTGCGGCCCTCAGGGGCCACGACAGGAGGAAATGCTCAGGGGGGGCCCAGAGATTCAGCGCTTCGACAAAAATTGGAGCGACTGGTTTTTGACAGTTTTCGGCCTCCAGGGGCTCTCGCCGGGCCTCGGAACCGTCAA